GCTTTTGTTGATAGCTTCATATACTGGGCTTCCCCATAATTGTAAATATAGACACTATATTGGAAAGAAAAATCATGCAGTGTGACAGATCTAACTCTTGGATTTTCTCAGCCTTTACATTGTACAGTTTGTTGAAGATCAGGTTCAGATTGAGCTCATACATCTGTTTTGGAAGAAAATGAACTGCACCGCGGTGAAAAAGTCATCCATATAAAAGAGTCTCGCTCCCTGCTATTCATAACAGATGCTGAGATTTTATGACCATCTTGATGGCAGACTTTCCTGCTTGAGAAAACCACTGACAAGCTGTTACTCTGTGTGATTACATGGCTGCAAATTAACCCCTGAGAAGTTGTCTGTGTATCATTATAGTTGGAGAGGGCCATTCTAAATTATTTATTATGCCTCTGTCTAATGATTTTGGCCTGCTTGCAGCTTATGTACTGTGTTTATGACAGCATAGTCGAGCTCCGAGAACAACTGTTTTGAGGAAATAAAAATCATAATAATGGTAAAAGGTTTATGCTTCATAAATGAGCCATTTAATTGTTGACTGACAAGTTTAAAGGGTTAATAATATGTCACTCTATGACACTGACAAGGGTAGGGGAAAAAGCAAAGGAGAAAAAGCACAAGGGACTAACCTTCAAAATAAAACAGAAATCAAAATAAAGTCAACAAGATGGCACGGCAAACGAAACACTTGAGAGTTGCCCTGGAATATAAGGGCAGTAGTGTTAAGGCAGTTTAAAAAAAAATCAAATGAACACCCTCACAATAATTGTACTGTAGTTAGATTATTTGTATAAATGCTTAGTGAGAGGTTTGAGGAGGCTCTTGTGCTGATATCATGTATTAAATGCTGAATGCTGTCTGTCCAAACCTTTGGTATCTGCACACATGAGGGGGCACTGTGGACAGACCCACACAGTGGGCAGCCCATTGTGGGCCCCAGGACCAACATGAAAATAAGGGCACATCTGGGCCCCAGATGGGCTTTAGTGGAGTAGCCTATAGAGTGGGCTGCCTACACTAAGTGGAGAGAGGAGCTCATATCGGCCCAATTATACAATACAGCCACCAATTGGTATAAAGTGTGGACCAGAATGTTGCTCAAATTAAATAAACTCCTTATTCAATTCAATTTTATTTATACAGCGCCAAATCACAACAGTCCCCTCAAGAGGCTTTATATTGTAATGTAGACCCTACAATAATACATACAGAGAAAAACCCAACAATCGTATGAACTCCTATGAGCAAGCACTTTGGTGACAGTGGGAAGGAAAAACTCCCTTTTAACAGGAAGAAACCTCCAGCAGAACCAGGCTCAGGGAGGGGCGGGGCCATCTGCTGCGATTGGTTGGGGTGAGAGAAGAAAGACAGGATAAAGACATGCTGTGGAAGAGAGACAGAGATTAATAACAAGTATGATACAATGTAGAGAGGTCTGTTAACACATAGTAAGTGAGAAAGGTGTCTGAAGAAGAAATACTCAATGGCTATTCACAAGGAATCACCACATGGTTGATTTGGTCCCACGTGGGGCCACACATGTGGGTAGGTCCATAGTGGGTCTGACCGTATAAAACCCATATCGGGACACCAACATTCAAAACTACTGTAAGCTCTGTGTTCACACGCCCAGTTGGGGCCCACGTGGGATAAGTTTGTGTTTGCTCCACCCACACAGCCCCAAAGTTCACCTATAACTAGTCACTGTGGACCTGCATGGGCATTTTTGCCAGTTAAGGTAGGTAACATTTAAGTCTAAACATAGCCAAGCTGGCAATCAATAAAGTCTCCCACAGCTGAACTGTGTATCATGGTGACTCTACCCTCTCTTGCCACCTCATGGAAAAAGAAACTACAGTCTTGTAGCTGTCGACAACTGCAGCCATTCTCTTTTCGACACCTCCAGGCCCGGCCCTCTGAGTACTGTATGTGTGAAGTGAGTGCAGCTAGAAATGTGCAGAAACATGTGTACGCCACACTGTTTGTTTGTTGTTACAGGTTGAACGACCAGTGGGTGGAAGTAGCCGGTGACTTGAGAACGCTCATTAGGAATTTATGAAGCGCTAAAATGTTTGGTCTCTGGGGAGGGGGGATTGGCAGCCGTCGCACAAGCATGCTGGGGACAGGAGGAGGTAGACCGCATTAGCAGAGAGCAGACATACAGTAGAGATGCAATATTTACAAAGGGTGACTGACAGAGGCTGCTCATGCGACAGCTCTGCAGGACTGCTGATCACTCTCTGTTCACTCATACCGCTCTGTGTGCAGTGAGGAATTATCATTTCCAAGTTTGTATATGTGCAATTTTTTTATTTAGTTTGGAGATGCAGATGGGCAGCATTTCAGCAAGCTTCATCACATCTACAGTCTTTGCCGTTATCATCCTTGTACATTCTGGTAAAAATATGAATTCCATTACATGTAACGGCGCATGCATACAGGAAGTGGCTGCAAGCAGCATAGCAACCAGAGACCACAGAATATCAGTGACCTTCAGTGACGTTGAGTGAAAGAACCACTTACAATATTGCATATTTCAATAAAAGATCCTCAGTCACACTTTTGTGAAAATTAAGGTGAGCTGAACAGTCAGCTTAAAAGCACTGCATGACAACCAGTCATTTTAAATGTGCATGGGCCATGACCCTTATATCATATTAATGAAGAAACTTTTGTCATTAACTTCATAGGTGGTACCCTCCATGGACCCTGGTGACACTGTCACAATAGATCTAGTAGAGTCCTTTTCAATGCATTGCACATTACAGAGGCAGCACCCAATAAATAATAAAAGACATTAAAGACAGCAGTGTTCACGTTTGCTTAAAACTTTCTTTAAGTTTTAGTTGAAAAAGTGAAAGAGTAAACTAGAGTAAATGAGTAAAGTATTATTTTTGAATCAAACTAAGCCCGGATGTCTCTTCCATCTGAATTTAGACGTAATGTAACATATTTTTAAACCAAGAGCTTTAACCTGAAAAACAGTGTCAATGGTGCTTGGTGGGATATTCACCTGTCTGATAGACAAACAAGTTTCATGAGCATCTCTAAATTTGAATTGAAACATAAAGCAAACTGATGTTTACCTTTGTGTTTGTGAATGGATGCTGCTAACTCAGCTCAATTAGGACTGATCAAAACCAGTAGAAATAAAACACATATAAAAACAATTATGTGATTATGATGAGCAGCACTCATTTTAATGTCTTTTACCAATGTTTCTAATGGCGATCTATATAATTATGATGCATCTTCTCCTTTGCCTTGGCATCACTTCCTGTAAGACACAAGACTGTTGTTGAATCTCATCTATTGGTGATGAATCTCTTAAATATTACCGCTGAAGGTTATGCAATTTCCTTGGGGAGAGAAAATCGTATAAAAGGAACTACAGTAAGTGACAACTGTGATACATATGGAGTGTTTGTAGATTTATAGAAACATGCTACAAACACACATCATGACTTTATTTTGCACTGGATGTACTAAACGAGTTCTGCTGTCTTACTTGGGTTCCAGCCAATAAACATATCCTGGCTGCATGCCGACAGTGTGGGTTGTCCATTACAGCACAGAGCTGCATTGTCAGTTTTTATCCACAGCGGTAACTTACTGCTGGGGAAGTGCATCACATTACATTGACTTGCTTCATTAGTTAAGATGACTAGAAAACATCTTCTGTTGCACACATGACAAATTCACAGCTTACCAGCTGGTGCATGTATTTTGGCAATATCCAAATGGTCGTCACCGAAACGTATTCTCAGTGAGTGCTTGATGCCACAGCAGTAATATGCTATATCGTTGTTGTAATGATGAATAATTTATTTTTAAAATGCAAAATTAAATATTGCTGTAATGGCTTTTAGATCTATTGTAAAATGTAGGCACAAATGTGTTTGTCAAGAGAAAACGTATGGATATTTCCCTATGAGGGTTAAAATACAAGTTCCCATTTAGAGTTTCCAATTAATAATTAGTTAAGCTGAAAGTGCTGAGTTTTTTTATTTTAAAAAAATAGCCTGTAATGGCTTTTTAAAAACATACATTCACTGTCATTACAAAGAAACAAATTCGTCAGAGCTCAAAGAAATTCAGTAGCATAGGTCCTTAGCTTGGAGTTTGTTCTCCTCATGTTTCGTGGGTTCTCTCAGGGTACCTCCCCCAGTCCAAAGACATGCAGTTAGTGGGGATAGATTAATTGGAAACTCTAAAACTAAGTGCCCACAGGTGTGAATGTGTCTGTGTGTGGCGACCTGTCCAGGGTGTACCCTGCCTCTTGCCCCAAGACAGCTGGGATAGGTTCCAGCCCCCCCGCGACCCTGAAAAGGATAAGCGGCAGAGGATAGATGGATGCATAGAGGTCCTTCGCTTAACCACCTCACTTTGGTGTGGTATTGCAGACAATGCATAATATCAGAAGGTGTTAAATTGAGCATAGTCATTGTCTTGATGTGTTCCATTTTTGTGACGCCAATCCATCCTGGTGAAAACACGATCAGACCCTTTGGTGAATACGTTGTGGGCTGCAGGCCTTTCTTCTGACCGCACCTTTTAGAAGAATTTTGTTTCTATTTCTCGGTGAGCGATTTAAAAAAAGTATTTTCTTAACAATAATGAAAGTTACTGAACTGACTCTGGTATGGATAGACGCACTTTGTCTGTAGGCAGGTCTGGCTTTCTCTGCAGCTCTGTAGTTTCACATCTACTACTACTCTCTGGGGCCTTGCTGCAGTGTCTCTTCATAGACAACAAGAAACACACTCCTGCCACCTCTTATCACTGCAGCGAGGACAAACACAGCAGCCAGCCTGTGAAAAACACACTTGGCCTAAATTAAAGAAAAAAATCAAATGCAGTAGAGCACTAATATGTAAATATGGTTGTTCTCTCACAGATCTTTGAACGGGTCCTTTCTTGGTAGTTATTAAAGGATTCGCTGTGCCGTGTCTGACGTAGTTTTCTGATCTCATTTCTCTCTGCAGTTTTCGGTGAAGATCTACGTTCCAGCTTATATTTTGTCAATGCATCTGTGCAAGAGGTAGTGTTTGCCAGCACCACAGGGACATCGGTGCCCTGTCCCGCCGCAGGTGTGCCTCCTGTCTCACTGCGCTGGTACCTGGCCACCGGCGAGGAGATCTATGATGTGCCAGGGATCCGTCATGTGCACCCCAATGGCACCCTTCAGATCTTCCAGATCCCCCCTTCCAGCTTCAGCAAACTCATCCACGACAATACCTACTATTGCACAGCGGAGAACCCCTCAGGGAGAATCAGGAGCCAAGATGTTCACATTAAGGCTGGTCAGTTTCTCTGCTCGTCACTCTGTTTTGTTTTCCATTGGGTCGTCACATCGCAAATCAGCAAACTTTTAGAACAATTTATGCTCCGATTTGGATACAGATTGGTCAAAAGTTTAAACATATATACGATAAGTGCTGTGACATTTTAAGTTGACATGTCAAATACTTTTCAAGATAATTTTTTTTTGAAAAATGGTCTGTCAACCCACTTTCAGGTCATTTTTCATACAATGGAATCTAATATTTAAACATGAGTATATCAAAAACTAATAAAGATAAAAGCCTGAATTTCTATTTTTCCAACTATAATGTGGGGCTTATTTTAACAAAAGTCTAATAACTGGATATTTAAAATATGAAAAACTGTCCATCACTGCTTCATATTCCCATATTTGAGAAATCAAAAAACTTCACATAGTTCAGTTCAGTTCAGTTCTTTTTTATTTCAAACATATACATTCACCAATGTTTCATAAACATAGAAAAAGACTAGTGACAATGTCTGAATAGTATATAATTATATCTCACAATTATGCAAAAATAAAACAGAATCTTAAAATTCTTAGTCACAAAAAATAAAGAAAATTATATTTTCATTCAACTTTTATATAAAGTAAAATCCCAAAAGAACAAAATTCAGATTCCAGTTTCCAGATGATACTCAGTTATGAGTAGAAATCAATTCTTTTGAATGTTGCGAGGTAGTTTCACTGTCACGCCATGTGGACGTGCCAATTTGATCTTGCAAGACTACCCATGTGAATGAAAAAAGCATTTTCCTCAGTACTGTAAATAAGAATTTCTTGTTGAAAGACGTTCTACATGCTTTATTTTGCATTATTGTGAAATACAGCTATATATCTTTCAAAAAATGTTTTTTATTAGTGTGTTTTCAAATATTAGACTTTACAGGATGAAGTATATTTGAGGTTGAAGTATCTGTCACCAAATACAGATCCTGATTCATTTTAATGGTAAAAAAGACCAGTTAAAATATCAGGATTTTATATTTAATAGTTTTTTGCTCAAACATTGCTTCAGATTTCAATGTGCCATAAAAGGCCTGAAAGCTAGTTGGCTTTTTAAACATCTATATATGTACATATATATATATATATCTACACACATATATTTGTGTGTATATCAAAAATATTTGATATATGAAGCTAAAATTTTATAGCAATCATTGTAAAAAAAACTCGAGCAGGAGGCCTGTGTTAATTTGGTCCCATTTTATATTAAAACCTGTCTGTCCTCCCCTCCTAGTCCTACGAGAGCCCTACACTGTCCGGGTGGAGGACCAGAAAGCCATGAGAGGCAATGTGGCGGTCTTCAAGTGTATTATACCTGCCTCAGTGGAGGCCTACATCACTGTTGTGTCCTGGGAGAAAGACACTGTGTCAATCACCCCTGAAGGTAAGTCATGGCATTTTTCTTCACTACAGTTGGCGGCAGTGTTTGGTGACTGATGTGGACCTTGTTTGCCTTTTTGCTGCATTGTTCTTGTACAGTTGCCTTCTCACCTTGTTTTGAGAAATTAGGAGAGATTTGCATATTAGTAAACTGGAGTGAAAAAGTGGTGTGGTGGCTATTTGTGGTACTTACAGAATGATGTAATATGCTTTCTTGATATACTAGGAAACACACAGTGGTAGAACTCTGTTTAGTTTGCAGAAAAGAGATTTTATTTGGGAGCATTTCTACAGGTGCAGGTACATGCAGTGAGATAAAGCTTCACAGTTTCATTGATAATGAATACACTGTAGTAGAAAGGACTATTTGTCCTGGCCAAATGCTGATTACAAGTGTTGTTTGTCAAAAGAAGAAGAGAGGCTTGTGCGCCATCTCAGGCCTAGCTTATCCTAGCTAGCCGGAGTCATTCAGTGTATGTGCACGTCTGTATTTCCACATCTGTCTGACCCAATGACAGTTAGGTCCCGCTCTTCTTCCTCTGCCCGGTCTTCCACAAGAGCGCAGACTGCCAGCCATGTCACTTAGTCTCAGTGTATTGACCCATTTCTCTGGCTGATAGGAAGCACTGCAGTGCCCCGATCATTCAAATCACTTAAATGGAACACTCGCCTCCGTGATTGTTTCCCAGCCCTGGGGGGCAAATTCACTTTATGTGGGGCATTTAGCAAACTCAATAGGCAGGAGCTAATGCTATTTTGCGTTTGGATGCAGGGCAAACGCCGGCTAGTAGCTGCTTTTTTGTTGATGTTTCACATTTGAGGCAAAATCGTTCATGTTGAAATCTATAGCAATCTCTTAATTGTCCATAAATGGATTTGCCGCTGGCATGTTTTTCAGACACAGGCATATATTCCTGTACTGCAGTCTTTGTCATTGAAATGCATCGCATCTGGACCTTTTAAACTTATCGCCACACTGTCGCATTGTGTGAAGGGAACCACGTTTTTTCACCCCCCCGATCCTCGAGGACCTTTTCCACTGGTTATCTTTACAGAGAAAAGTCTTTGCGCTGAAAACACAAAGTGTTTATCTTGAGCCGTAAAAATCGGCCCATCTGTAGCCGTCAGCCATGTAAACGCTGTCAGAAAAAATCATCCAGCCACCAATCCACTGCTCTTCTCAATGCTAAATAATGGATGACGGAAGCCTATGAATCCATGAGCAAATGGTCTTTATTCACATCTCAGTGCACACATCCTACTGACGCACCGTCCATTCCCCTTATCCTCTGCTGCACACATTTTAACTGTGCTTTGTGCATGTGCGTGCCTAAGTCTATATTCACACTAACTGACAACTCAACTCAAGATGGCTTGACCCCCTACATCCCGATGACCAACCTTCAGTGTTTAAATATTTCATGACTAAAAATAATATTGACACTTGAAACAAAAAACTTTGTGAAATGTAGCTTTTCTGTCTCTGGTATGAATAATTGACTGCGGCTCTCTCAGTGTGGAAGGTGTAGCGTGGTGTGCAGACAGGCCTTCTGTGAGTCTCACTGGACCGAGCCTTGTCGAGTTGTTGCAGTGTACACTAACAAAGCACCACTTTAAAAACCCTGGTGTCCATTAGAAAAGAATGGAAAATTATAATGCATTCAGCCAGGACATCCAGTAAAAGCAACAATGCGCTGTCGTTGTCTGATATGGTGCTTATATAGTGGGCTGCTGCTTCAGAAAACATGCTTTTTATGCTCCAGTATTTTTGGTCTCTTACAGCTTTGTTTTACTGAAAGAACAAAGATAATGCTTTGCAGTGAGGTGGAACAACAGATAGTTAAGAGTTGATTCGTGGCCAAAATTGAAAGGACGAGTGATTACAGCAGCAAAACACAGCTTAGGTGTTCCACACATGTGGATAACATGACCATTGAGCAGCTCAGTTTTGTCTAAAAGAAATCTAAAGAGATTTTACTGATGACTTTAAAGCCCACACTGAGCTTGCACCGTGGTATATCCGCCTGAGGCCCAGCCTATTCATTTTTGTCCTTTGTAATGGACATTTGTTTTGGTCTATATCTTTTGACTTATTTGAGTTACCTTCTAAGTCCTGATGTGCTCAATAGAGGACATGCTGGCCTTTCCAATGATATCCCATGTGTGTGGTGGCCTATTTCCAGGAAATCACAAGAAAAGTTAAACTGAAAGATGCTTTTTCCTCAGTTCTCAGGAGGATATCTCGGGTCTTCTGACATAGTACATGCCCATTGGTAACCTAGCAGGTCCTCGGCTGAGGTTCTGATCAGAACCCATTCTCAGTAAGGAGACGAGCTCCTCCTTGGCAGGCTCCTTTTTTAAATCTCTTATAAAGACAGAATTTTATAAACAGGGTTTTTCTGTTCTTCCACTTTAAGTTATTTTTATGTTGGCTTTTATAAAGTTTTATCATTTCTTCCTAATGATTATTTTTATTTACTTAGATTTTCAATTTTGTCTTCCTTGCTAGCGTTGTTTTACCTTTACCTTTTCTTGAATGTTTTATTGCTGCTGGTTTTCCTTCTCATCTTATGAAGCACCTTTTAATTTTATTTTCAAAAGTAGCTACGTAAAGATTCTTCTTCTCTATCTTTTTATTATTATTATTATCATTATTACATTGCTGTTGTCATTTTAAGAGTATTTACTGTTTAAAGAGGAGAGAGGAGGGAGAACTGGTTTTACTGTTTTTCTATTACATGATAGAGTATCGAATATTGAATATTAAGGCTCTTGAAAAACACTGTGTTTGGTCACTAAGTCATAAACCTGCCTAACTGATGGGAAAAAAATCTTCACTTATTTTAACATAGTGTAGATATACCTAGTATGTTTGCTCCCATTGTAACATATTTTGCTTCATGGACATGAAATATCATCACATGTTAACCAGGTGTATCCAACCAAAGCCCATAAAACAAGCGCACATTCAGGTCATCACATTATGTAAACTGCTGCCGACTGCTTGACCAACAGAGCTAATCACTGTCAGGATTCAAACAGTCCTCAAAAGTCACTGCCCAAAGCAGAGGATTTAAAAGGTCCGTTACAAACAGGAAGGAAAAACCGGCTGCTGTAAAATATGTGTTGTGCATATTTTACAGCAGCCTGTAAGCTGAAACAATGATTGAACTAGAGAGATAACCAACTTCATTATTATTAAATGACATATTGTGTTTATTCATATTTCTGAACTTTTTTACATTGTAGTAATAGAGTTTAAGCTCAGACTGATTTCCCGTCACGGTCACCTCCTGTGGCGATGGCAGCAGCTGAATTTCTGCTATGAAGATTATAACTATAAATACTACTACTACTACTACTACCACTAAACTATAAATGGGGGATTGCCAAATCAAACACGTTGCTCAAAAGTGGGGTTTCCATACTGGATCAGTTGAGGTCCTAGTTAACAATGGCCACCTCCAATGCTACTACCAACAGGGTGCTGGTTGCACTGTGCTACTCTTCGCCAAAGATAAAGGAAGGGGAAGGTGTGCTAGGAGGCAGTGAGAGAGAAGTGGGCAAAAGTGTAGACTAGTAAAGTCACGAGTCCTAGCTGATATGATGCAGAGAAGGAAGGTAGATAAAGTATATTTTGTGTTCAGGAGACGAAACAAGACCAAGGGCATTGGAGGTGAAATTTTCTATTATATTGTAGATAGGAAGTAAAATGAACTAGTGGCAATTTTGAAGAACATTTGAAGAGTGTTGTGGAGGCGAAGAAGGTGACTGGGGTAAACTTCAGTGGGCAGGTAGGTGAAGGGGACAGAGGAAGCAAGGAGGTGTTGGCTAGGTAAGATGTTAAAGAGAGGAATGTGGATGGCCAGATGGTAGTGGATTTTGCTAAAAGGACAGAAATAGCTGTGGTGTGGACTATGAACTTGTAAGAGAGATTAAGAGTGGAAAGGTCCGGATGACATTCCTGTGGAAGTATGGATAATCCTAAGACAGAGAGAGGTAGACTTGTTGACAGGATTGCTTCACACAATCATGGAGAATGAGAGGATGCCTGAGGAATGGAGAAGTGATTCAGTACCAATATTTCAGAACTATGTCCAGATCTGTAGTAACTGCAAAGGGTTAACATTGATGAGTCATACCATGAAGCCATGGGAAAGACTTGTTGAACCTTGGTTAAACAGAGAGGTGACAGTCACTGAGTAGCAGTATGGCTTCATGCCGAGAAAGAGCGCTACAGATGTGATGTTTGCCATGATGGAGAAGTATAGATCAGAAGAGGCTCCTTGTGTCTTTAAGAAATCACATAATAGGAAGGCTAGTGTAGGACATGTATGAGAACATGAGGGAGTGGTGAGTTGTGCAGTAGGAATGAGATATCAGTTCAAGATGGGGGTGGGACTACATCAGGGAGCTCTGACCCCCTTCTTATTTGCAGTGGTGATGGACAGGCTGACAGATGAGGTCAGGCAGGAGTCTCCATGGAGTTATCATGTTTGCGAGTGACAGTAGGGAGCAAGTGGAAGGAAGCCTGGAAAGGTGGAGGTATGAACTGGAGAGAAGAACAATGAAAGTCACTAGAAGTAAGACAGAAGGGACTCAGTTTGAGCAGTTTGGAGAAAAAGTCAGAGGAAAGGTTGAGAAGGTTTGAACACATGTAGAGGAGGGACAGAGGATGTTGAATGTTGGGGCGATCGTGGCTCAAGAGTTGGGCGTTCGTCTTGTAATCGGAAGGTTGCCGGTTCGAGCCCTGGCTCTGACAGTCTCGGCCGTTGTGTCCTTGGGCGAGACACTTCACCCGTTGGCTACTGGTGGTGGTCAGAGGGCCCGGTGGCGCCATTGTCCGGCAGCCTCGCCTCTGTCGCCTCTGGCTGTGGCTACAATGTAGCTGCCATCATCAGTGTGTGAACGTGTGTGTGAGTGGGTGGATGATTGTGTATAGTGTAAAGCGCTTTGGGGTCCTAGGACCAAGTAAAGCGCTATACAAATACAGACCATTTGAAT